AATCAATGTTCAAAGATTAAAGTTTTATGCTGTTTAGCATGTTTTGTCCATACTTCACCTATATTCTGAGCTTTATTACACTTGGTGATTTTTGCTTCTAAATCTTTAAATACATTCAGCTCATTTAGACAGTTTAGCTTAGTTTCAGCTTCACTTCAGCTATTCAACAACTTCAGCAATCAGTTACCAAATTTAGCATAAGCTGCTAATTTCACAGTTCAGCTAAATGTAAAGATTAAAGTGTTAAACTTGTCCAACTGAAATAAAAGGTGTTTAGACATTTTAGCTGTCCAGATTTTTATACAATGTTCACAGATTTCAGTTTTTTGCTATTTAGGATTATTTTTCTCCATTCTTCACTTACTTTTTGTGCTTTATTTCCTTGTTAATGCTTTTTGCTTCTACATCTTTCAACACATTCATCTCATTTTGACAGTTTTGCTTACTTTCAGCTTCAGTTCAGCTGTTCAACAGCTTCAGCTTACAGTTTCAGCTATCCAGCATTCAAACAGCATTTCTGCAAGAAATGCAAATTTTTCTAGTATTTTTTTATTGTCGTTGCATCACATTTGGCTTATAATTTGTTTCAGGTGCTGACGTGACCCTTACAGACCTACCTGTGGCTCTCCTACAGCTTCAGGCCAACGTCTCTGCCAACAAACCCCCTGATGGTTGGCCATCTACCCCTCCCACCATCCTCCCTCTGTCCTGGGGCCAGGATCACCTAAACTTCCCCTCTGACTGGGATCTGGTGCTTTGTGCAGACATCGTCTACCTCCCAGAGACGTACCCACTGCTGGTGGAGACGTTGGCTCATCTATGTAAAAATGGAGCTGTGGTGCTTCTGTCGTCCAAAATGCGCAAAGAACACAAAACTCCAAGTTTCTTTGAGGAGTTCCTGCCGAGCAGATTTGACGTGGAGCTTGTGCATCGTGACGATAAACAAAACAACAACATCTATAGGGCATTTCCACTGTGATAGTAGGACTCAGTTATTATTGAGATACTTTGTTGCAGTTGAACCAGTGTTTCAGATCATGTTGAAACATAATGTATTTATATTTTCACTCTGGATATTATATTAACAGATTATGTTTTTACAAATAAAAAGTTCTGACAACATTAAAAAGTATTGATTTAGACTTATTATTTGACAGCTGTCTTCAATTAGAGCCCATCCATGATAAATACCACAGTATATATATACATTTTTTTTATTTTACTGCAAACAATTCTAGAACAAACAAGACTTCTCTGTGAGCAGTGACTGATGTTCCAGTGGTTTCTTGTTGATATTCTGAATATTAATAATTTTTTCCTCAACAGCTGAATGTTATTCTGTTAAATTGATTGTATAAAACTCTAAATTAATCTCATTTACGTGTACTTTGTCCATGGGTTGCAGCAGATTGGGCTCCCTGCAGGCTGCCGTCTGTCCTTCATCCCCCTCTCTGCTGATGTACAGGTTTTCTGTTCAGGAAAGGAAAGCCTGTTTGTTACGCTGGAGAGTTTAAAAGAAAAGGAGACAACCCAACTGCTGTCCGTCACTCCTGCTGCTGCAGTTCAGCCAACAAAACAACAGATCCCTATCTCACGCCTGCTGGAAAACAATCTCATCAGTGGATTTGTTGTTGAGCAGCTACTGGGCACATTCATAAACCTGCACGCTGCTGGGAAGTCTACGTGTGTTATCAATAACAAACATACTTATTAGTCATAGAAAGATCGAAGTATGAAGGACACTAAAAATGCAATTGTAATAATGTTTTATGATAAATAACAGCAACATCAGTATTAAAACGGAATACAAAAGACAAAAAGTTTTTTGTTAATTTTACATTTTGTTTCTCTTGTTTTCATTTTAGTGAGTTTAGAAGTAAATAATAAGGATGTTATGTATAAAATAAAGTGTAAAACTCTTGACACGATGTTTGAACTGCACACGTTGGCTGTGTGTGTGTGTGTGTGTGTGTGTGTGTGTGTGTGTGTGTGTATGTGTGTGTGTGTGTGTGTGTGTGTGTGTGTGTGTGTGTGTGTGTGTGTGTGTGTGTGTGTGAGTGAGTGAGAGAAAGGAGTAGGAGGGGGGACTGAAAACCACCATCCTCTAAAAACACTGTCCTGTTTGGACTTCATTAGACATCATGTCACCTCATGGGCAGTGAGAAGAAGGATCTGAACAGCAGCCTCAGGTCTGTGTTGTGTCTGTCTGATTATATCTAAAATATTTATGTTAAGTAATCTTTGACTTTGCTCAGTGTCTCAAATTACACCTCTAAACTTATAGTTCTGTCTAAAGGTTCAAATTAAAGTTGCGGGGGAAAAGGAAAATGTTTTGAAATATATATTTATTTTATTTCAGATCTCTGGGGGGATTTCACGATGGATTTCTGGTCAGACAATCAGGGACAACCACATGTTTACACCAGATATGGTACTGCTCCTGGGATAAACTGTGTACACAAGTAAGTTGAGCAAAAACCAGAGGCGGATCTAGACATTTTTTACGAGGGGCAAAGGGTGGGCCTAAAGGTCTAGACTGGGTGGCAGTGCTGGACTTCTTTGTTGAAGTATGTAAAAAAATAAATGAAATAGACTCCTTTATGTAGTTGGTGTCAACCAAAAACCCACAAGACACTTTAAAACTATGTGTCATAATTGATGCTCAGATAATTATTAAATAAGAAAAATAAAGATTCTATCAAATGTGTGTGAATGACTGACTGCACGCACTTTGGAGTCCTCTGACTCAGAAAGGTCCTATTTAAGCTCAGGTTATTCATAATTTATGATAAACACACAAAACACATTAAATGTAATTTAAGGACACAATAATATGGGAGCAATGCTCCACAACAAAGGGGCAGTTGCCCTCTTGTTGATCCATCCCCAACATAAACACTTTCTAAGAAATCATCAAAGGGTTAAAATGAGTCATTTTTTTCTTACTTTTTACACATTTACTTTAGAATTTGTCTGACTTTCATTATCTGATGATACGTAATCCAATACAATATTATTGATATAACATTAATGTTGTATTTAATGTACATCTGGACTAATACTGTTGTAGTCATTTAACATATTAAAAATAATCACAGTGAATTGTGTATAGTTCATCTGAAAACAGCACAAGGAAAAGATATCAAATGCTGAAAATGAGAATTTAATCCATAAATTATTAATAAAATTTTAAAGTTAGAACACTCTTGTCTCGTCTCATCTTCTTCCGCCTATCCGGGACTGGGTCAGGGGCAGCATCCCAACTAGGGAGTTCCTATCTCATGACCATAGGTGAGGACTGGGCGGTAGATGGACTGGTAAATCGGAAGCCTTGCTTTCCGGCTCAGCTCCTTCACCACAACAGACCGGTTTAGCATCTGCATCACTGCAGACGCTACCCAAATCCGTCTGTCGATCTCCCGCCCCCTCCTTCCCTCCCTCGTGAACAAGGACTCACCCACTGCTCGCGACGGGGAAGCCTGTTGTTCATTTAGCATCCAGGAGAGAGCAGAGCAACTCTCAGCTAGTAGAAACTAACCATTAGCATTAGCAACTCCACAACATGGCAGAACTCCTCCAGGCTAAAATGTCAACATTGCAATATAAACAAAGTCAGTGGAAGAGTCACATTGTTTTTAACCAATCAGAGACGAGATGGTAAAAATGGTAAATGGCCTGTATTTGATATAGCGCCTTCTAGAGTCCTGGAACCCCCCAAGGCGCTTTACAACACAATCAGTCATTCACCCATTCACACACACATTCACACACTGGTGGGGATGAGCTACAATGTAGCCACAGCTGCCCTGGGGCGCACTGACAGAGGCGAGGCTGCCGAGCACTGGCGCCACCGGTCCCTCCGACCACCACCAGCAGGCAATGTGGGTTAAGTGTCTTGCCCAAGGACACAACGACAGCGACAGACTGAGCGGGGCTCGAACCTGCAACCTTCCGATTACAGGGCGATCTCTTAACTCCTGTGCCACCGTCGCCCCACGACAGTCAGGAAATAAGACTCCAAATCCTGTCATCCTCTGCTCACCTTTCCTCTGGCTCGCATCTAGGAGCACCAGAGCTTTTTTCCCCCACAAAGATCTTTTCAAAGCAATAATTTATCCTAGAGACCACTACAAATGTATGGAAATGAGGGAACTTGGTCTTTAAAGTCCAAGCTTGGCTCCACCCACTTGGTGACATGGTTCCATTCTATTGGCTTAGTACAAGGAAATGTGAAAAAGACGTGGCTGTGCGTCACACTCCTATTTCTATATGAAAGGTTGTGAATATCAGTTAGTGGATAAACAAGAAAGTCCAACCTCATTACCAAACAGTTTGTCCCTATGATCTGATAGAAGGCTGCAGGTCATGTGAAGTGACCCAGATCACACTCCGAAATTACACAAATTATCTACAAATATTTAACCCCTATAAAAGCAGAGAGACTGGAGTGCCTTCAGGCACAGACACCTCTGGTACAATTAACACTGAACAATAATAGAGTTGCAAGGTGTCCTTAAGGGAAGTTTTGATATTTCATCTTTATGTTTTAGAATAGAGCTTAAAGGATTAGCAAATGTCCACAATCTGACGTGCTGTCATATTTTCTTTGTAACTTCTGTTTTACTTACAGCTGTCACGTCAGACATGAAAGAGAGACCAGGAACTGGACTGTTGCAGGATCAAAAACTGCTCCACACGGGTACACACACTGGATGGATCCCTCCATTTCTTCCCCCCACCTCCCTATTATGTTGGACTCTTGGCGCCACCAGGTGGAGTATCAGCAACACAAAGGCAGTGACAGGGAGTGGGCGTCTCATAGAGCTGTGAGGGACTATGAGAGAGGATATACGAAGGACGGGTGGCAGCGGAGGTGGGAGCCCAGCAACACACTTGGTTGTAACCAAGAATTTCCTGCCAAGAGAAACGACAGCAGCTATCGAGAGCTGGAGGCTTGGGCGGCGCGGTACAGTCACTCACTGCCAAGGAGGAGACGTTTAGAGGCTGAATTATTGGGAACCTCCCAGGGGCTGGTAGGGAGGGACCCCAGATACAGGACAGGACCTCAAACACACCTGCAGCATGTCCAATTAGCTCCATGCAGCATGGTATCTGAGCTGTGGGAGAGAGGACGCAGACAGCACGCTCCATCAACAACTCCTGCCCCTGACAGAAATTACATGAAGGAAAACTCCAGCTACCAGAGGGGAATATTCAGCCAACCTCCAGAATATGTGGGTCCTCCTCCCTACAATAATCCTCTTAAAACCTCCCCTATAAAAGACCACGATGACACAAGTTTGGAACAGCTTGGTAAGAGACAAGTCTACTGGTCACAGCTGACACCCAGAAAGCAAGCTGGCGCTGCAGATGTAGAAAATAGGGAATTCAGGAAGTCTGTAGAAAACAAAAGCTGCCACAAGCTGGTAGGCTTAAAACAGGAGGAGGCTGCTTCACAGGAAGCAAATCTCACGAAAGCTCAGAAATCTCAGATGCTGACAGGAAGCATGTCGGCTCTACAACATCCAAGCAGAAAGCAGGAAACAAGCTCAAAGATTATCGAAGGAAGGAAGTTCAGACTAAACAAAAAAACAGGTGGGATGACCATTTTCTGCCTCGTGTCTCGAATCGCCGGTGCCTCTGGAACATCGTCTTTGCCGGTTTGCACCTCCCAAACATCCATTCAAAGTCCAGAAAGAAGAGAGGTTTCTTTTGATCTAAAGGACAGATCTGAGATCAGCCAGCTTGCAGATGAAGTGGACTTCAGAGCACCAAGCTGCATAGGAAAGGAGATGCTTGAGGACAATCTAGGAGACAGAGATGTTATCTCCCTGGAAAACATTGCTGAAAATAATGATTCTACAAGCGTGGGACAAGCAGGACCATCGGTGCAGCCTGTGTCCCTCAGATATCCTTTATGGAGAGAGCCTGGTTCTACGAGTTCAGCTGTGAGTAACCATAAGATGGACAAAGACGTAAGCAAAGTGAACACTGAGGACAGGAAGGGTCTACTGGTTATAGACACAAGCTGTGTTGTCGTTAAAGTGGAGCTGATTCCTTCACCCAAGAAAGTGCCTGTTCAAAATTTGTTCTCTTCTACAAATGATCAAACTTTTATTTCCTCTGACTTAAACCAGCAGCTGGAGGACGACCCGCCAAGTCAGCAAAACAAAGACGCTTTAAAAACGAGTGAAGCTCTGGAAACTGATCTGGATTCGGAGAAAGAGAAGAAGGTAGAAAGTGACGTCCCTTTGCCCAGCGTCCAGCCACCTCTGCTTTCTGAACCAGACACTTTGGAGGAGCGAGCTGAAAGAATCCTTGGGATCTGTCTAACCGACGGTGTGGTGGAGCAGCAGCCTGAAGGAGAAGAACCGAACTTTGACTTGAAGGATGAGGAAGCGGAGCTGTCTCCGGAGGACGCAGAGACACAAAACCCTGCTGAGGTTCTACAACCTGAGGAAACTGACTGTTTGGAAAACAGTAAGGACTTCAGACCTCTGGTAGCAGAAGATGAAAACAAGGGAGTGGCAGATTTGTCGCAAGACACTGCTGACCAACATCTTAAAACTTCCATTGAAGAAGCTGATGAAACACAGCTTGAATCCACAAGTAAAACAGATCAGAAACAAGACAAAACTCTCCTTGTTGAGGATGAATCTCCTAAATCTCCTGACTTCTCCCACTCTTTGTTTCCTCCTCTCCATCCTTCATTTTCTTCAGCATTAACAGAGTCAAACACACGGGTACAGCTCGATCCTGACCTGGTGACATCCTCAGCCCTCACTAGCACCTCACCCTTCTCTTTGCTGCAGCTTCCCTCTCCTCCCTCTGAATCAGCGGACTCTTCCTTTGACTTCACTTCTCACACAGACCAGCTACCAAGTCCTACTCCTCTTGAAGCAACAATTCCAGCTACTGATGAAGAATCTGGAGCTGAACACGAGCATGAAAAGAGTGAAAGCAAAATCAACAGGGACTCCCTTACCTCAGACATGAAGGAGGAAGTGATGTCACAGCAGAAAGATACAGGTGATGCAGCTAAAGAACCGCAGAAGCACCCAGATGTCAAAACGTTGCCTCAACAGCTTGGATGTGGTGAGGCTGAAGATGAAAAGTCTTCTAAAGAAAGCAACGAGGGCATCACTGATATCATACAGACACCTGAAGCAGAAGAAGAGAGGGAAGAAAATCCAAGTGATGGTCAAGACGTCATCCTTCTCCAACAGCAATGGGAGTTTAACCAACATGAGGATGTTTTACGCCTAGAAGAAAGCGATGCCATTCAAAGTTGTGATCTTATTACAGGCCTTAGTCAAGACACAAACGCGCATATTCAGATAAATACTGAAATCTTGCTAACACACGTCTCCATTCCCTCTCATTCATCAGCTTTAGAGGAGGAGTCACTCTTAGGTGAGCTCCCACTTCCCAGCATCCCAACTCTTCCTTCTGCATCTCCTGAGTCCAAGAAAGACCGTGGTCCTCTTTTGGAAATGGTCTCGGTCTGTAATTCACCACTGATTGTTGACATTCCTGCTGCACATACTGCAGAAATCACTACTCCTGTTTTTGATCTGGACCCTTGTGACGAGTCCACCCAGTTCCCATGTTCTGCCTCCTCTTCACCCCCCGTTTCACCTCCGACTACCACTTCACACGATGAAAACCTTTCTCCACACTTTTCTCCATCTGCTGCACACAAAGAAAAAGCTCAGTATCCAAAGACTCTTCGGGACGTGGTGAATCACATCAGGAAGCATACGGCGCCCAACTCCGAGAGCGAAGACGAGGAGGTGAGCGAGCTGTGGGACCCGGAAGTTGTTTGCGAAGATGTGAGTTATTTAGATGTGGTGGTGGATAAAAAACTTGAGAACATGGATGAAGTAGGAGAGCCAGATGTTTTAAAGAAACGTGCTGAGATAGGACACATGGAGGAGGACGGGAAGGAGCCACACGATGATGAAGACACTCAGTCCTGCGGCGGTCCCAGCCGCCACGTCTCTGATGACAGAGTTCTCATAGTGGATGAGAAAACTAGACTTCATGCCAACATAGAGAGGAGTAATGAGGAGTTTGACTCAGCTCAAGGAGACATTTGCTGCTCTAGTGATGCACAAGAGGAAACCTCATCTGGAAGTGAAGAGGAGGCGGAGCCAAATAAATCTGGTGACAGTGAGGAGCATCCAGCGGAGGAGGAGAATGTGACAAACCAGACAGATTCTAATGAGGTCAAAGGTTAAGATTACACAACTTTAATCTGATCCTATGTCAAATCTGTGTTGAATTTAATAACACTTGAAAATATTTTACTAACAACCTTTATTACATATTTGAAACTAGTGTCAAGTACTTGTACTTCATCTCTAGTATCGGTGTCGTTTTAAAAGCTTTTATTTTCATTTGCTGAAGGGTGAAAACAAGGACTAGTGAGGTTATATCTGCAGCTTTAGAGACGTGTTGTAGAAATAGATCAACAGGTTGTTTTGTTGTGTGCTGATTAAGTTTAGTACAAATAAAGAAAAGCTTGACAGATTACATTATATTCAATAACTTCATTACTTTTTAAAAGATTTATTTTTGTTTGCAGTTTAAATTCTGTCATCCTGTCCCTCTAAACGTGATTTAACATAAAATGAGCCATCATCAGGTGTACCTCTTATGCATAAGAATGATCGGATCAGAGACCAGATGTTTGATGACGTAGAAATATATTTAATAAAAAGATATCAGAACTTAAAGAAGATGATACAACCCTCTTCAGACAAATAAAAAACCGTTTGACATCAAATAAATTTCTCTTTGGTCTTGATGCTCATATAGCAGTAAAGGTTATAAATATAAACAGAGATTTCAGCTTTCCTGGTAGTGTTTAACCAAAGAGCAATGTGACAAAAACTATAAGTTACTTAGAAGTTAAATACATACATAAAGATAGCCTGCAGTTGAGCCTCTTGACTTTTCTGTTTGCTAAATCAAGCCAAATGACTCTTCTATTAGCTGATGGTTTACAAATTCAGCCAGTTTACGCATCATTCAAATATAATAATAAAAAAGACAAATGAGAGTGTTTTAAAATAACTAAGAACAGAAAAGTTTTAAAATAAACCACAAAATAACTCCTGATTTAATAAAAGTAAAATAAAAGGTTTTAACGGTTTTCTATGTTGCCTGTTTTAAATTAGAATATATATGTAAGGAAATTTGGGGACTTTTCCTTATAATTTTTGCTTTCAATGTCTACTATCAATATATTCAATAATGCATTTACTAAACTGAACAGAAAGCTACATTCTGGTGCGGAACCACATCACTGTTTCAATAAAATAGCAGAGATTCTGAAACATTTTGTGCTTTAAAAGATGCACAAACAACAAGACCAAGTTCACGGATGTCTGGCGGGAACTTCCTTAAAGTCGTGTAAAATTACCTGAGATTATCAGCTAGAAGGCACGTTTCTGTCTTAACTCTAATGAGACCAGTCGACAGTTTAACCCAACGGAGCATCTAATTGAGCAACACAAAAGTGGACTAGAGTGGACTGAATTTAAACTTTAATAAAAAAAATAAACTGAAAGCATCATTTGGCATCAAATGACAAATTCACTGATGAACGGGCAGAAGGAATGTAGATCCACTGGAAATAATTTCTAATAGCTGCTTTGAGTCTGAACATGTATGTTCTTGGCTTTGGGAGGAAGTATCTGGCACTGAGGATGAATGAAGACATTAATGAAAACAGAATTAGACCCAAAAGCAGGTCAGAAAAGCTGAATCTACAGGAAAGTCCAACTTATATTTGCAGATTCACAGTTTGAATTCATGAAAATCCTTAAAAAACAGAACAGTCCTCACACGAGGCAGCACAGACCAAATAAAGTTACAGTATAAGGAGGCTCCAAGTGATCCTAAATAATCTGTAATATTACAGTAGTATTTATCTGCACCATAAAAATGTTTATAAGTGAAAACAGAAAAGGTTACAGCACCAAATTCCTGCTGAGGAGAGACGGCAGTTGAGCTGAACATCAAAGTTCGTCGTGGGGCATCGTTAGAGCGTGGTCACAGAGATCTGCAAAGGCCAACAAACAAAGAGATAATCAATTTATTCTAAACACCGCAGTAGAGCTAAACAATGGAAATGAGGATGAAACAAAAATAAACCAGACCGGTTCTCTTGCTGCAGAGTTGGTCTTTGATATTTTCTCTTTTGTGAGCAAAGAATTCAATTATTTCATCTTCATGATGTTCAACGATTGTTTCACACTAGAGAAACAAACCATACAGCAGATTAGAATGAAAGCGCCGTTATTAGTTTCTTCTAGAAAACTGCACAGAAAACTATACTCACTGCAAATTTTAAACTGGATGTAACTCTGGAATCCAGCGTGGCCTCGGACAGGTCCATGGACTCGCCGCTCCGAGATTTGACCCTGATGTAAGACTTCCTGTCTGTGGAAGGGTCGGTGCGCTCCCCGTAGTCCTGCATCCTCTCACACACACTCTCCATCAGCTCCAGGAGGTTCCCTTCAGAGCGAGCCAGAGGAACCTGGGGGCAGAAGAACACACACGAGGCTATTGGCACAATCCCGATTATAAAAGCTCGTTTTTCTTTCTGCTGTTAGCAAAAAGTTGCTGCTTAAATCACATTTGTGAACATTTTCCACCAAAAGTTATATTTGTGTAAAAATCGGTCTTCTAAAAATAAACTCTCAACAAATATCCTCAAACATCTTTGTTGAAAATGTAACCATCGATTTATTTATTTATTTTTAATGCATCAATATTTGTTCGTTGTTTTACTTTAAAAGTTATATGTGGTGAAGCTGGGCATGTTCTGAAACATGAATAAAATGTTTATTTTTAAAAAGAAACCTAAAAACCTGCTAATGCGGCTAAGATTTCCTTTGATGCTGAGACGCAGCCTCCATCCAAAGAGGGATCATGGACACCTCATGGTTGTCTCACCTCTCTGATGGACTGACTCCCGTCCGGATTAATCCTGAAGGATCCCATCTGGATCATTTTCTTGGGATCTATCTGGGAGATGGCCCACTCCATCTCATCCACCAGAGCCCTGCAGGCTGAGGAGGAAGCAGCAGATGCATGAAAAGCTATCTAGTGAGCGGAGACTGATCGATAGAGGACGAGGACATACATACCTCCACATCTGATGTCCTGTCCTTGTCTGGCAGCCTGGCTGAAGCTCAGGAGGAGACAAACTACTACACATGATGTGAGCAGGAGAACGGATTCCCTCATTTTGGGTCTAAATGAATGCACACATTTTACTCATTTATCACAGGCTATGCTAGCAACCATTTGCATCCTGTCCTACAACCTTAAACAGACACGTGACTAAAAACAAATCAGAGTTTCGAAATCGTT